GACTGGAAACAGCTACAAGTCTGAACTAGCACGCAGTACGGCGCTGCTTCTAGGTCAGCACATAGTCATCTGATTGTCACCAGGTACCCTTTCTTAAAACAAGTATGAGACCCCTATCAACCTGCATAGGTTAGCTTACCTTTGCTAAAGATTTTAGCATCTGTAAATTTAAGATTTGATTTCTTTGAAATTATATTTAGATCTAAATCTTGAAGTCATTTGGTTCCAGACTTTGAATTGTAATTATAGCTTCAGTTTGAACCTACAGGGGGAAGCAGCAGTTAAAGAAGTCATCAAAATTAATAAATGGCTGGCATTCGAAAAGAGGATGTGGGTTAAAAATTTGTATTTAGGCAATTGAGATTTAGAACATGTATATTCAAATCCCAAAGGGGGGTCAGTTATCAAGAAAACCAGCCTGATCTCTTGAAAAGTCAGAGTTATTTAAAAAGAAAGAGGTAGGGGATTATTTTACATTACAGGAGGTGTAAGAGATATAACCACATGCATTGCAGGATCTTGGTTCAGTCTTAGTTCAGTAGGGAAATCAGCAATATACATTTTGGAGACAGTAAGAAATTTGAATATGCACTAGTTATTTGAACAATAATGTCATGCTCAGTTGTGATCATAGTATTTTGGTGATGTAGGAGAATATCCTTATTAGGGGGAATCTGTGCTTTCATATTTAAGAGTAAAGTATCATGATGTCCAATTTTCTTGAAATAGTTTATCAAATAGGTATATGAAATATGACAAAATATTAACCATTATTATGCTTACATGGTGGGTTTTGGAGTTATTCATGGCACTATTTTTCTACTTTTCTGGATGTTTTAAATTTTTCATGATAGTGAATGGTGATACTAATGAAGAAGTCATCTCAGGGTGAGAAGTACTGTAGGACATAGCAGGTCTTCCTGAGCCTGCCTTGTGTTTTGGGAGAAGGCTTTGCTGGAGGAGAACCCTGCGGTGGTGGGTGGAGTCCACTGGGAAGTGGTGCTTACGCCAGGACATCCGGATGGCTCAGCAGGCCACTGGGAGGCATTTTCCCAGGCTCCCCAAGAATGCCCTCATAATAGCCATGGTAGAGAGCTTTCCACTGTGGTGCACCATACCACACAGACTCCCCTTGGTAGTCTTGGGGAAGCTCAAGTCACCTTGGCAAACAAATGAAGCTGAATAGTTTTATAGTAAAATCTTCTGCATATTGGATATTTTGCTTTCACTGTCTTGGGACTGTGAAGTAAAACAACCCAAGTAAATGACCACTCCCTTAAAAAGTATTACTCATTGGAGTATGGTATGACTTAAAACTAATCTACTGCCTTGCTAAGCCAGGATGGAATTTGTTCAGCTCATTTGATTTTTTTTTGCTGTTGTTGTTTTTCCCTCTCTATTCATGAAGTCTCTGAGTTTCTAATAAAGCCATTTTGGAGCAGTTTATTTTATACAGGATATGAAATAAAATAGTGACAGAACTCTGGTTTGTCCTTATAACATGAACCGCCCTGTTTTTCTCTCATAAATATTACTCAGAGAAATATTATTGGAGGTTAATGTTCTTTGGTGAACAATCAAGTGAGCCAGAAGAAAGTTAACGTGGTAACAGGTCATCATTTTGGGCTTTATTGTGTGTTGGGAGGTTGTCTGTAGAACGGTAGAGAGAAGCAGCTCTTTACAAGTTACAGAATGCAGAAGGCATAGAGCCTGTAGACTTTTGGAGCTGCTTTGAGGCCATGGAAGAAGATGGACTCTTGCTAGTAATGGATATCTCATGACATCAGCAATGCAAAAATATAAATTATTTCTAGAAATACACATACCCGAAGATTCCTGGTGGAAAAATGCTTCTACTACAAAGCTGTCCTCTCCCTAACTCCAGTCTCTTCCTGTGTCTAGACAGTCTTTTCAGATTTAGGACCACAATAACTAGCAAGAAAACAGAAATCACAAGTACTTAAATGTGATTTACAAGTGCCTTGAAATCTCCCAATACCACTGTCAACTAGTTTTTAAATGAGAAGGTTATCATCACTTTATGATTTCTATTCTGTTTCCCAGCCCCCAACCACCACCAGCCCCCTACTCTCCTACTGACTTAGATCAGTGCATTTAGAACACCAGTGTAGGAAGCTGGGATCTGATTCCCCTAGAAGGGAAAGCAAAGGGCCTCCTGAATTCTTTGCCAAGTTGCTATTTAGAGAATAGTGGTAGCTTTAGAGAATAGTGGTGCTTTGCTTTAGCCCTGGATAAGTACAAAATCTCAGTGACCTGCTGAACCCTGTGAATTTGCTTTCATTAAAGAGCAAAGCTAAGAATGTAGTCTTTATCACTGCCTATTATCTATGGATAAGTGAAATATATCTCACTAAGCATTTCAGTTCAGTATATTTCATCACCAGTGATTTTTCTTTGTTTTTATATCAAAATTAGTTTGCCATAAGAACTAACACAAGTACCTTTTGTGTTTAATCTCTCTTTAAGTTTCTCTTTAAACAAATTTTCTATGGCCAGTGGAATTTGGACTAAGCAGGTGCAAATCTTTTTTTATATGTTAAACTTGCCATTTCTCTTGTAGGTGCCACCAGGCAGGGTTTTCCATTGAAACCATAACAAGACACGAGTTTAGTAATGATTCCCTTTAACATAATCCCATGCTGGGGGTGGAGAGTACAGGGAAAAAGATTTTAATAAACTCAGTTCTCCTAGTCATTCCAGTAATAAATTACCTAGTTAGAATTTGCCTTATACCGCTTTATTTTTCTGTAGGAGAAGGTGTCATATTGAGTCTTTATTGTTTAGCTGACCAAGTAGGATTTAGTTATCATTCGAGTGGTATCTCCAGATACCAGGCTTCCTGAACTCAGAGCTGTAGCTTTCACAGTCAACTTTAGATTTAGCACCTTCCTAATAACAATATTTATTGCTGGAGATTTTGTACAGGGAAAATATTTTTGAAATTTTGAATGTGTCATATGAATCTTAATCAACGAGAACTGTAAGTGTTAAGTACGTTCTTCCAGCAGAGGCAGAATGACGTAGATATTGCATTTTTTTGTTGTTGTTCAGTCCTTTGGAAGACTCACATTATAGATCATTATTTTGAAAATTGCTTTAAAAATTTTCTATGTGTGTTTGTGAAGCCCAAATTATTAAGGACCCCTCGCTTAAAGTCCCCCTCCCCCCAGCAGTAGGACAAATAAACAGATGTGGAAGACACTTCCACTCTCTCAGTGACCTAAGGAATGAAATATTTGTTTAAAAGCACTCAGAATAATGCCAACATTGTGCATATTTTGACATGTTAAGCAGAAGAAAGCCACATGACCAAAATGCAATCTGTTTCAAGTGTGCTAGGAAAAAATTCATCTCAGTAAATCTGGAGATTATCATATCATAGATGTCAGTGTTATTTTGCAATCTCTGTGACTAAAGCAATTGTGCTGTCAGAGCCATAGTTTGTGTAGACAGAACATCAAGTCTGTGGTCACTGATGTTCTGTATCTTGTGACAGGAGTGTCAGAAGGATACTGAACGTGAAAGTGGAAACTTCTTTGTGTTCTTTATATATGAGTTATTTCAGGACAATCATAGTCATGAACTTTGGAGTCTGATGGTCTTGAAGACCCCCTCTCGCAACTCTTGGCCCCTCCAATTTCATGGATAAAATACTCTCTCTAAGGGTGTTTTAGAATTTGGGGACCCTCACCCCTCTTTGGCTGGCCTTTCATTTCTGGTTCTTCTACCAAGTGTTTGACTGTGTTAACAGGATCATTTTTACTTAATCTTTCAGGAAAGTCATCAACAAAGTAGTTTATACCTGGAGTGGGGCTGAAAGGGAAGGAAGGAGGGAGGGTGAAGGAAGGAAGTAACTATGTTGGTACTTTCTGTGAGTCACCTGAAATTCTCTTGCCCCCTGTAAGATGAATGGTAATGTCTCCATTTTCATAGATAAAATCTACTCCTTGGAACCAGTCTTCCTTAACATTATGTTTGTGAGATGTATTTCTGATAATGCCTGTAGTTGTAGCTCATTAATTTTTAGGGGTAGTTTAGTATTTCACTGTGTAACTATATCTCGCCCTCTTTTTTAATAAAAAAAAAATTCTGTTGATGGATATTTACACGGATCTCAGATTGGGACTATTAGGAAAAGCATTATTACGAATACTGTATATCCATGCTTAAGTTCTGCTTTAGATATTCAAGCAGCTTTTGAAAGTGGCTATACCAATTTGCGTTTCTGCCAGCAGGGTAAGAGAATTCCAATTTGCCCACATTCTTGCTAACAGTTGGTACTCTTGGTCTTTTTATTTAGGCCACTCTGGCCAGATGCAACATCCATGAGGGGTCAAAGAATTGGAGAATCTCCTCCCTTCCTTCTGCCCTTCTTCCTTCCCTGCCTCCTGCCCTCCCTTTCTCTCTCTTTTTTTCTCTTCCTCCCTTCCTCCAACCAACTCTCTCTCGCTCTCTCTCCCTCCTTTCCTCCCTTCTTCCTTCCTTCCTTCCTTGGCTCATGTCATTCCTTTTCATCTTATTCTATGTAATAGCTTTATTGTACTTGAGTTAAATAACTTATGTACAGGCAAAATACACACATCTTCAGGTAGGTATTAAACAATTCTTTTCGTGAGCTCCTAAGCAATGCCTATCAGAAGGTGGCCAAGGTCTGTGTACCAGCTCAACCTGTATTAATGATCCCACGTGAAGGGTTTGGTTTTCAAGCCTCTTTGTTGGACCTCCTTATTTAGTCCATTTTACAGATGAAGTGACGGAGTCACTTCAGAAACTAGAGACCATCCCAGGTGCTATGGCCAGGCCTCCTGGAAGAGCCAAGATTGTAATATTCACCCCTTCCTCTCAAGCGAGGCCCTCTTTTACTGTTTTATTTGCGAGGTAATTATTGAATGCCTACTGGATGGCAGGCCCTGACTAGGCTCATAGGATTCACTGGCAAATAAGCTTGTAACCTAATGATGTCTTCTTTTACTTTATAGGTTATGGCTTTCAAATCACAGCCTATTTCCTCAAGAGAGGGATTCGCCTTCGCTGCTTTGGGGGCTCACACAGTCCTGGTAAGAAACTGGTTTCTTGGGTTGTGAGGCATTTTGCACAATTAGCTTGCCTTGGAGAGGGATGAGAATAAAGGAATGAAGATTGCTACCTGCTTCATTGCCTTCATGAGATTGAAGTACTAAGTGAGAGTATTTCTGAACATTTGTGATTTTTTTTTAAATGTTCAGTTTCTTGCCTACCTGAGAACAGTGAGCTGGGTCAGACTATGCCGTACTTTCTTGCTGTATTGCAGCAATTTCATTGAACTTCCAGAGTGACTCGACAGACAGTTAAAAGTTAAACTATGAATCACTTCATCATTGTGCACACGGAGGCCCTGGGAAACGGAGCAAGTGTGTGCACGAGAAAATGCTTTCCCAGCCCATAGCCGTCAGAGCCCTTCTTAGGTGTGTGATGAGGCCAGCTTCCCCTCTCATTTCCCCAGGTCAAGATGTCCACTGAGGAAATGATGTCAAACACGTCCAGCCAACAACAATAAAGTCAGATGCTCATGATCGTTCTCCAAGTTGATCTGAGCGTTGGAAAGAAAATGTAGCTCAACTTTCTTGGATGATTTTAGTATATAAGTTATGAAACAGGGACTTTAAAAATTAACTGTATGGAGGTTTGCTCTTAGAATCTTCACAATTATCTGCACTTTCTTAACTTTAAGTGTCACTTGAATATATTACTCTTTTAATGAGGGCTTTCCACTTTATTCAAATCTTAGCAAAATAAGTCAGTTAGCGTTATATCTGTTAAAATGCAGCCTAGCTACCCTTTGTGGTAGGGATTTTAGGTTGTTGCCTAAACCTTTACATTATTTAAATATTAAAATTATACAAATCTCAATTATGATCTAAGCAAAGTAAAGGGGTACAGAAGTTGATTTCTGTTTCTACAATACAGTGTTCAGAATCTGCCATTCTAGCATTCTTATTTTTCAGAGGAAGAAATGGAAGAACAAAACAGAGGGATTATTTGATAGACTGGATTAACTCTGAGTTCTAGTTCTGATCCACTAATAATTGATAGAACTGATAATTTTGAATTTTAATTCTAATCTACCAACAAGTTGTTTTTCAATGTGATATTTTTTTGGGTGGGAAAGATGGCAAATAAGGAATTCTGTGACTCATTTCTCCTTCCATAAAGTGGGAAAAAGACTACTTACCACTTGTTTCAATAAGATTTTTAAAAAATTAATGAATAATTATTAACTGCTTTGATAATTTTGGTTTTCTGGCTTTTCAAAGTCTACTCATGGTCACCTGGCCAGATGCAACATCCATGAGGGGTCAAAGTTTAAACACACCCAAGCTCCCTCAAGTAGGGGTTTCTACATGAGGAAGATTTGCAGAGGTAAGACCAGAATGATAGGTTAGGTCCAAGTCATGGAGGGCTTTGAATATTTGTGTAGTATGTGGTGGGCACTGAGGAGCCATGATAGGATTTTGAGCATGGTAAGCAGAGCTGTTTAGAACTGTTAACCTGTTTGCACTTAGTAGAATAAATTGGAATAGGCAAGAGTTACCACCAAGGAGACGGCAGTGGTCCAGGTGAAAGGTAAGGAGAGAGCTCTTACTGGAACATCAACACATTATGCCTTTGGTATAATTTAACCTAGTCAGTGTTATAAGGTGTTAACTGTGTTTGCACTGTGTTCTGAGTGTATCAGATTGCGAAATGCTACTGCCTCAGTCAGTGCCCTCGTGTCATTCCTTGTTGGAAATTTGCGATATGTGTAATTATGTGATTCGTAGTATCTGTCTTTTAAAAAATGGTCACATCTAAGAAGGAAGTTTTCTTTTAGAAAAATGGCTTTATTTCTGTTATAAATATGATACTTGTGTTTTATAAAAATATTCAAGCAATACAACCAAGTGTAGAGAAGGGAGAAGACTCTCGTCACCTACCTAGAAAATACACTGTCAGCATGAGCTAAACATCACTCCACAGATAAGGTGGGTGGATGGATGGATGGACAAACAATCAGATGGGAGAAGTAGAGATACAGATGGTATTTATCATGTTGTTTTCCTTTCTTCGAAAGTTAAGAGGTTCAGGTCTGTGATTCATTCAGCCTTCCCCACCCTAAAGTCAGTGGTTTTGCTTTAAGAAGTTGTAATAGATTACTGTGACTGTGGTGTAGTTATATCTTCTTTACTATTGCATATTTAATCACTTCCTTAATAATTTGCATTGGTTCCTAATTAATGAAACTTCTGTTTCATAGCTTGATTCAGATTGAGAGTTCGCCTTCCATTTCACGGGACCTCTCTAAGACCAGTTGACCAAGGATATGATAGGCAAACTAATAAGAACATTGACAAGTCACATTTTGAGATTTTATCTAATATTATTCTTCTTCCTGTGTAAGTCTGTACATTCATTAGAAAATGTTAATCCTGTTTCCCAAATGTGAGTTCTGAACAGAAAACAGCAAACCGACACAGAGGGAGTGCTGCAAAGGCCCTGCCTAGGGGTTTCATGTGATATAATGATCCAGGGGCTCAGGTGGACCAATTTGCAGCCTTCTCAGCTCTCCCTAGAGCTTTGTGCTTGCCCCACCCTATTGATGGCAAACACTGCAAGGAGCAAAGGGGAGGGGAGAGGAGACATCTGTCTCATACATTCATGCTTATTGATGTAACTTAAAAATCTGGGACCAAGCCTTTCTGTGTTCTTTGGTTTTCGATGCTTTCAGTGACTTGATTTTCTTCATTTTGTACAGAACTCCGTGTATTCCCTGACAGATTTGTGGTCTGTGTAAGTCAGCTCGTATTCAATCATGATCTTTTGGCAAAGAAGAATGAAGAATTGGTATGTATGAAAAAAATCTATAAACAAATCTGCTTAAATATTGAGTTATTGTAAAAAATAGAAAAAAAAAATTTTCTGTTGTCATTTAGCTGTTGAGCACTTAATATATGTCTTAAGGAACCAAGAGTGTCCTACCTATTTTGATAATATTGATCAAGTGATGTAGAGTTTTTTTTAAGACCCCTCGAAAATTTAGTTTGATCAGCAGTATCTTTTCCATATCAATTTTAAATGAGAAAGCAACATTTTACAAAAACTGCGATGACGCTTATGATAGTATTTAAATGAAATAAAGTGAAGTCTTTAAATGAAAAGAAGCAAAATCCACATATTTCCACTGGATGCTTTCATTGGGGTCAGTGGCTTTTGAATTTTATTCCATGGTGAATCACTGACATTTTCATGAGAACCAGTACTTTTCCCTAGCGTGTTATTTCTTAGCTGATAGGGTTCATTTTCTTTGTCTCTTTTCTCATGCTAAGTCTTAAGCTCCATCAGGTCCTATTTCTGTTTCATTGGAGTTCTCTATTCAGATAGATACAGAAAACTCGCTCCTAATGTTGCAACTTGCAGCTTTTTCTTTAAACTTTTCATGTACTGGAGAGGGTCTCCCTGAAAGTGAGTGTGTGATCTTGCTGCAGTCACAGTCCCATCTATCTGATCTTACCTCTGTACAAACTTTTTTCATATTTTTGGTCATATGACAAAACTTTAACAAAGGGGCAGGGGGGAATCTAGCAGACATTAAACCTGGACATGAAATATGACATGATTATGCTTCTAAAATAACTTACAGGAATATTAGATTACCCCTTATGTTTATTTTTTAATCCATTTGAAATTTGGCCACATGGTGTAAAACCAGCTTCTTATCTCATCTTAAATAAATACATAGGGAGAGTGTTTTGGAGGTAATAAGGGTGAATGGAGACCCAGAAAAAGTAAAGAGCTAAGAATTCACGTTTAAATCTAGGTGCCTAAGCCCATCAGAAAAGCCAGTGTGACTCTTCCTTCTTTGTCTATCAATAATTCAGTATACACATTAAATTCAATAAATTAAGCATATTTGGTGAAAAGCTTTAAAAGTTTATTCTTTGAACTATTTCTAGGATATTGAGTTATATTAGCAAATTAATAAATACTAAACTAGTAATGCTGTTGGCAAACAGCCATAGTATAAAACAAATATAACATAACATAATATAATATAATATAACATAACGTAACGTAACATAACATAACATAACATAATATACTAGCTTAACCGATTCTCAGAGCAATAAAGAAATTGATCTGTAGTTTTAAGAAAACAACTGGTCTACGGCCATGCTACCTTGAACAAGCCTGATCCCGTCTGATCTCGGAAGCTAAGCAGGGTCGGGCCTGGTTAGTACTTGGATGGGAGACCACCTAGGAAGACCAGGTGCTGTAGGCATAAAAAATTAAAAAATAAGGGATTGTAAGCTGACAAAGTCCTTGCAATCTGTGAGGTCAACCAAGGGTTGCCTTGCCTAAAAAAAAAAGAAAACAACTGTACTAGAAAGTGTTATTGTTTTCATATGGACTACAGAAGAAATTCAATCGTGTATGATATGTACTGTTAATACTTAATATCTGTCACATGCAAGGAAAACGGCTACCAAAGTAACACCCTTGAATGCATCTGTATCTTTCCACGATGCCAGATTTATCGGGTGGAACCTCAGATAAACTAATCAGGTGCCCATGCAGGTTAACGCATAACATACAGAGAAGGGAAATACAGACTCTTATGCTACAGAGCGAAGGGTTGAAAGTCCTTAGCATCTCCAAAGCGAGCTGTGTTGACTGGCAGGTTGGTTTCACATCAGTCCCAAGCCAGCAGCTATGATGAGCAGAAGGTCAGAGTCTTCAGTTCTCAACATACCTGTCCATGATGCTCTTGGGTCAGGCTTGAGCATCATCTGTGTGAGATGTTCAACTTATATGGTCCCTGCAAGATGGGATCCTTATGCTGCACTTGAGGCTTATCAACAACACTCATGTCTGACGTTTCTGTGATTTTGGGTATTCTAGTCACATCCTTAGGGCGTCTCTATGATGTGCCAGTTGACATCACTTTCATGGCTTCCATGGAATCTATTTCATAAAGTCCAAAAAGTCCTCATGCCTTTATGCTCGATACAATATCTTAACTTATTAAGGGTGAATTAGCACATCTCAATACTAATGAAATATTATCCTCCTTAGGGACACTGGCATTTATACAGATGTAAGTTTTCTATAGCTGCTGTCATATAAATCCTGTAATCTGAAGGACTTCCTAAATGTTAAGAATTTTCATTCTGGAAAGTTGACTAGTCTGAACCTTTTACATGAGGCAGTTCAGTTTTCTTATCTCCAAAATGTTCTGATATCCAGTGATAATACTATCAGAGTTAGCCAAGTTAGCTTATAAGAAAAATGCCATTTACATCATGAGGATTTTTCACTGTCTTAGTGATTATCTTCAGATGTGGTCAGTCTCTGTCTCTTCAGCTTCCCCTTTTCCCACCTCTGACCATCTATCTCTTCACATGTACACTTTCCCAGCCACATGCACACAAGAGTCAACTAAAGCCTGATGCCACTAAACGTCTCCATCCCTGGGCACAGGCCGTGTGCTCCCCTTCTGCTTGGCCAGTTCACCTGTGCACCTCCCCTCCTCACTGGCCTTCAGTCTATCACTTCCTCAAGCTTGTTGTCCTTAGAAATAATAAAATATCCAAGTCTAGCAAAGGGCCTTCTCTCCCACAAATGGCCCATCAATCCAACAGCAAAGCAGTCAGTTCTAACACCACAATTGTCTTGGAGCTTTATCCTCATTGATATTTGACCCCTGCAAAGCCCTCCTGTCTTAGCTATTTATGGATCAATAAGCAACCCTTCCCTCCCAGAATTACCTTCTACCCCAGAGAAGGCATTCTTACTCCATTATATACTTTAATTGCCCAAAGCCATGATGGCCGGCTCTCATGTGAGTATTCCTTAAGTTTCTTATTCCTTAGAGCTTCGAATTCTTTTATCGATTTACATTGATGTTTGCCAAAGGGCAGGATCCATCTCATTTTCTCTTGGTAGTTATTCTCCAGGACCATCTGAATGGATAAGGGGAATTGGCTTCCTGAATAGCAGTATTGGAGATACTTATTTGGCAATAACCAAGTTATTTTCCTATAACTGTTTTCTTAACTCTCTTCTTAGCCACCAAAGTGACAAAGGAGTGATCCAGTACCTGAGCAACAGCCTGGGCATGTTACTTGTGCTGTAACCTTGAGTAGCAAATTCCTTTTTCTTCATCTTTTTTTGGGAGGGATCCTCGGTGTCTAAATGACAATTGGTCAGGAAATCGAGGAGTGCCTATTCAGAACTGCTCTGCCAGGAGATTCTTTCAGCCTGTACACAAGGAAGCCAGCTGCACTTAGCTCTCCAGTTTTTAAAGAGGTGGCTGCACAAAAGGACCGCTGTTCCAGATTGAGCAGTACAAAGGGAGTAACCCCCCCCCGGGGCGGGGGTAGTGGGGATTAGCGTGAGCACACGCATGCCACTCCCTGACCCCCACCTGGGAGATCTGTCACCCTGCCATCCACTGAGGGGCATTGGTGCAGAGAGGCACTCCATGTTGCAATAGCTCTGCACCGAATGCCCATGTGCCAGGGATGTGGGAATTTGTGATGTGTACTTTGGGAAGAAAGGGCATTATTATGAGATGAGTCATTGTATTTTTCTTACTATAGTTTCTCATAAGAAATCTAGAAGCCCTTGTAGCCTCAGTTTTTTGACCTATTGCTAGATATGGAGCCACGGAGTCATTTTGAGAGTTTTTACCTTTAGCTTTTTTAATTTCTTTTTTTCCCCATAGAAATATAAAGAACATAAAATAATTTCTATTATTAAACTCAGCTATACTTCATTCCGATAATATTCTCTTTCATACTTGATTCCAATACTATTCTCTTTCATATTTACAAACCCAAATCCCTGTGTAGAAACTGTGAAGCCCAGGAGGCTTTGGAAAATTCAAATTTTTAAATTATTTTTATTTCTTTGTTAAAGTAAATAATAATAATTAAAGAAATAACTTTATTGTGTAAATAACTACAGAACTCTTTATGTATCTAGGGCATTTTAGGGTCAGCATAAAGCTACTGTCTCATAGAGAATTGCTTACAGCCACTTTGTCCAATCTCCGAACACGCTTACCCTCACTGTCACCTTTTAGCATAATTTGTTGAGTGCTGGCTCTGTGCCAGGAGCCCTGGTAGGCACTGAGGAAACTAAGAAAAATAAGATAGTGCT